TCCCCTCAGCCTTCAGGTCAAGGCAGAGTTCATTGACACTGGTGTTAGAAGACAGCGGGCAACTCAACAGCATAAGGCGACAGGGTTTCCGTTTTGCTGCTTAGTACCTGTCGTTCAGCACACTGGCTGAAGTGAGCTTCAGGGCACTGATTCTCATACGTGTGACCGGGTCCCGTCTCTGGAAATTACTTCCTCGGGGGGCCTGGGGTGAGGCCCAGCACATAGACACTGGGGAAAACAACAAAAAAACTCAGTGATTCTCTTGTGCGCCGCTGGTTGAGAGCTGTCGTGGTAAAGGATTCTTTCTAGTTCTCTGTATCCGCCTTTGCCTCCCGTAAGTGTGGCAAGTCAGGAACGGACGGTCTGCATGGTGAACGCACACAGGTGTCCGGGGGCCCGAGGGGCGTCTGAAAGCCAGCGGGTACCCGCTTTTGAAAAGGCCCGGGCCAGAGTGTTTGGAATCTAGGGTGCAAGTCAGGAGATGGGGTTTCTTGCGTCAGCCTCGCGACTGACTCGCCCCGTGACTTGGACGGAGCGCACGCCTCTGTCACATAACGTCTCTGAAACCCGCTCGAGCTCATCCCCAGAGCCGGGCTGAGCTGGCGTTAGTGTTGGCAAAGCGCGGTGAAGAACACCGAGGGAGACTCCTCCTGTGGAAGGTGGTCGGGCTCCCAGCCCCGCCCCCCCCCCCCCCCCCCCCCCGGCGCCCCCCTCAGGAGCCACTTCTGGGACAGAAGGCACATGGGCCGGGGGTGCAGCAAGAGACCAGATGCCCAGGGCACAGCCGACTACAGCCCTGTGGACGGTCTACGCTGAGGCTCGGCCCGGTCACGCTGTTTCCTCAGAAGTACGTCTGTAAGGAGGAGATGCCCCGGAACCCTCCGTCCTCTACCTCAGCCTCCACCTCCCCGCAGTCTGTGGGAGCCCAGATCCTTCTCTAGTTACCCCACCCTATGGCGCTGTGATAAACCACGGTGTTTGGGTTTTGTTGGTTTTTTTTCTCTTTAACCTGTCACCAACAATTTAAAAATACACTTTACTTCATGACTGAGTTTGTCTGTTTATAAACCTGGGCGGGGGGGGAATGTTTATGTAATACATTCCCTTACTATTTGCAGGATACTCTCTTTTCTGTTCTACTCTATGCTGTTAAAAAAGAAAAAGGAAAAGACCAGAAAGGCTGGCGATGATCCACTGAATTGATTTTATGACTCACGGTGGGTCATGACCTCTAGTTGGAAGATCACTGTGCTCGAGTCTGTGTCCTTGTGCCGGACTCTGTCAATGTGTGACTGGAGGTGCCTTTGGGGACCAGGCAGGTAAAGTAGATCTGCGAAGTGGGTGGGGTCGTATATCAAAACAGCACCTTAAATTCTGTTACTGAGGTGCACGTATGGATTAGTTGCGTGTTCACATTTCCATAAAGACACGTATGCTGTCACTTCTAAGACGTTCTTCCCACTTAGTCTTCCTTTTGCTTTCTGGCTTTTGGTAGCTGTGAAGCTCCGGGAAATGCTTCTCTTGCTTCTTAATTCCTACTCTAAGAGAGCCAGCAGTGCAGACTGAATGACAAAGACACTCCTCCTGACCACCCGCCCCAACCCTGTGCTGGGAAGGGCTGGGGGTTCAGGCTCGTCACAGCCACACTTCACTTGAGTTTTCCGTAAGGGAATGCAGGCCCGGCCTCGCAGGCTTTGTCTCTGAAGAACTCAGAAATCTGGATTTTTGTACAAAATCTCCCAGTGTGGGCAACAAATTCATGTTGAAACCAACACAAAAATGAACACCAGTGTGGTCCAGACAAACTGACACGCTCCTAGGTAAGGCCAGAAAGCGCTCAGCTTTATCAAACGCAAGGCACTCCCTGGTCCGTTCTCCAGGGCCTTGCCCAAGTTCCCACTGGCCTTTCCATCTATCCCGAGCAGAAGGCTTGCCCAGAATCTGCTATTTCAGGCAGAGAGAGTGAGAGAGAGAGAGGGAAAAAAACAAAACGAGAGAGAACGAGAGAACATGCCACCCGAGGGCATCCCCACTCTCTGTTCTTGAGGGCTCCATTCTTATTTTTATTATTTTTTTAAAGGTTTATTTATTTTTGAAAGACGGAGAGAGAGAGAGTGCTAGGCATGCGGAGCAGAGAGAGAGAGAGACACAGAATCCGAACCAGGCTCCAGGCGCTGAGCTGTCAGCACTGAGCCCCATGCGGGGCTCGAACCCAGGGGCCGTGAGATCATGACCTGAGCCAAAGTCGGACGCTTAACCGACTGAGCCACCCAGGCGCCCCAAGGGCTCCATTTTGATCTTGTTCCTCCTCATGGGGTGAAATGAAATTTTGAAGGAGTCCTTGGGCCACCCTGGCATAAGAGAGAGTAGGATGTGAACTCAGCAGCAGTTATGCTGAATGTGAAACTCCTCCCCGTTTGGATGTGGAGTGGATAAATGGCAGCTAATCAGCCTTCCCCTGAAGATTAGTGGTGCCATTATTGCTTCCTTCAGACAAAATCACTGCTACTTTGGCCATGGCACGTTGCTTAGGAAGGGACGATATAATCACAACTCTTCGGGGTAATCAGAGATGCTATGTCTCTGATGTACAAAATGCAGGTGCTGGCCGGCCCGCCTGGCCTCTTTAATCACATTGTTCTTCTCTGACCCTGTATTCAGCCAAGCCCTTCTGCTGTTGGTGACGTATTCCTGAGGCATTTGGATGGTGGGTTGTAAAGTTCAATTTCACCAGGACAATGAGAGGCAGTGGTTCTGGGGAACGTACATGAGCTGAGAGTAGAGCCTTCTGTCCTCCCACACAAACAGGTGGCTTTGGTGGCTGCTAGGTGCTCTATGTTTAGGATTTTCTTGACTCAGATGAGTATTGAAGACAAATATCCTCCAGCAACAACATTGGTGGTGATGCCTTGGGCACCCGTCTGCAGTTTACCTGTGGTGCCTCCCTTCCACCTTTTCTGTCCCCCGTGCCCTCGTGGCCCTCCCTGCTTGCTTAGTCTCTTTACTTTCTCTTTAAGAGTCAAAAACTACAGCCTGAGAGATCCCCTTAGAGTTGTTCCATCCAGTTCTTACCCATTCTCTTCTTGCCAGCAGCAGCCAAAACTCTCCCCCCCTCCCCCTCTTCCTTCCTTAACAGTGCAGTTGATGTGGTCCGAATTTCATGGAAACTAACCTATTTAAATTTGGGCTTCATTTCTAATTACACTCAGAATGGGGGTGGGGGTTGTTTGGATTTTAAGGGAATTGTGGGTTGGTTCCCATGTAGCTCCACTGGCAAGGCTAGTGGGCCCAGCACTGTTGAAGGCCTTCTCATGCATCCTGGCTCTTGGCCATTATGACATTGCCACCACCCTGTGCCCATGTTCATCATGGTGGTTGATTTCTGACTTGCAAGAATTCATTAAAACACACCACACACACACACACACACACAAAACCTTTGTTACTGTGGAAATTTTCGGACATACAGAAAAGTAATCAACATGTACCCAATACCCAGCTTTAATAATTGTCAACATTTTGTCAGTCTCATTTAGAAGACTTTAGATCAGTGTTTCTCACAGTGTCAGTAGTGATCAACTTACATCAGGATTATCTGGGGATTTGTTTAAAATGCATATCCTCGAGCTCCCCTTTTCCCAGAGCAACTGATCCAGAAAGTTCTCTCTGCCAGGTCCAGTGATCTGCATGTCTAATAAGCTTCCTAGATAGTTCTTTAAAAAAAAAAAAAAAAAAAAGTTTATTTCTTTATTTGGAGAGAGAGTGTGCACGCAAGGGAGGGGCAGAGAGAGAGAGAGAGAGAGAGAGAATCCCAAGCAGGCTCCGAACTGTCAGCACAGAGTCCGACGCGGGGCTCAATCCCATGAACTGTGAAATCATGACCTGAGCCAAAAATCAAGAGTCAGATGCTTGGGGCGCCTGGGTGGCGCAGTCGGTTAAGCGTCCGACTTCAGCCAGGTCACGATCTCGCGGTCCGTGAGTTCGAGCCCCGCGTCGGGCTCTGGGCTGATGGCTCAGAGCCTGGAGCCTGTTTCCGATTCTGTGTCTCCCTCTCTCTCTGCCCCTCCCCTGTTCATGCTCTGTCTCTCTCTGTCCCAAAAATAAAT